GCGCCCTTGCGAAGAAACGCAAATGAGACAGGCTGAAGTTGTACCGTCGGCGCTGATATCGAAGTTGTTTCAGGCTACAGCTCACAGCATTAACCCATATTGAGCTTTCTTTCGATGCTGGGATGGGGAAGTGACCACCTATTTGCAGCGTATGTGGCATGTCCCAGGCAGTCTTGCACTTAATCAGCGCAATCAGGGAAGTCTTATCGCAGCGAATCGTTGAGGTGTCATCGAAGGATATTAGAATTCTCTTGCAGGCATCCGACGTGCTTGGAATACCCTGGAGTGTTGTTGTCTGGACCCTAGCAGATTCCATTGAAACAAGTTTTGCGCTTGCCTCACCGGTCATAACCACCAAGTCTATATTTTTTGCGGACAAGTTCACCAAGCCTAGTTGTTTTGGACCCATCCTTTGCTTGGGTTCTACAACACACTCGAGGAAGTCCAAGTGGCATTCAAACCCTATGTTTCTACACAAATTAAGCTGCAATACAATAATAAGGTCCTTGATAATGATTTGGATCGGTCGTTGCCAAATCCATTTTATCGAGTCCAATGTACGGTCTCGCAAATACGATAGGAAACCGCCGCCTACCGACTCATTGACATTGGCAATACCCCCTCCTCCCTTTTCAGACGATAATGGAGTGGTGCCCTCGGCATCAGAAAATTCGCAATCGCTACGACAAGATAGTAAGTCTTGATAGTCACCGGCATCCTCCGAGCATGCGATGGTAGATTTATCCATTCCTTCACTTTCAGTATAAAACGTTTCCTCAGCTTCAGATAGCGCTTTATTGACGGGTTCACTCGATATGTCGGCCTTTGGACAACCTAAAATCGTTTCGTTCGTGATGCTCCTGAGGATCTCCTCCATTGTACGCTCTTTTGAGAGTTCAGATAAACCCATCACAGCTTGAAGACGTACCGTCTCAATCTCCGCACGAATAGGCTCCGAAGTGGTAAAGCCTGGAAGAAATACAGACATATTAGCAATAGTACAATCCTCTGCTAATACCGGAAGAATCCCATTCATCGTGTCCTTTCGAAGGGTGACATTTTTGAGTGTAATACTACGATCTCGAAGCGAAGTTTGGATGTCTGCCGGCTTTACATCAGCAATATTAGCCAATTTTGATAGAACGTAAGAAATAACAGCCTGGCTCATTTAGCTAGCTGCGCGTATATGGGTCACTAAACTACACACTAGTCTTAAATATAGGGCTTATTAATTTTTATGAAGTTGGTAAGTGGCAAAAAGGGCATGTATTGATATCTTAATTTATCCTTGTACACATGGAATAAAACTATATTTAACCCTTTCAAAGAAAAAAAATGTTGGCAAAAAATTTTTGAACTTCATAAAACCTAATTCCGAAACATCGACACTCGCTGCAGTTGTTCTTTGTAGAAAGAGAAGTAACCCTATTAGATGGATTTGACAATTTAAAATCCTTCGTATGGGTTCCCAAAATATCAAAGCAAAAGATTAATTAAGATAGATAGGCATATAGTATGTGAAGATAATGACTATATGTCATGTTTGTATATTAATTTTACTATAAACACTCAAAAATAGAGGTGAATAAATTTTCCATACAACACAGATGTGAATATCAAAACTATTTTCGATTTTTATAGGTTATTTTGGGTTTCTGGGTTTAACATCCCTAGTCATATAGTGAGGGAGAGATAAATATAAAGATATAATTCGGTATCTTTTTGCTCAATTAGGTTTTGCCAGTAGCATTAGTAATAAATCCGATGGTCACAATGGACGTAAAGGTTTTGGTTGAAGTAATCTTGATGCTCAATGTGTGCCGTTTAGCTTAGCGATGTAATCTTCTGCGGCTTCCTTTTGTTCACTGTTATGATAAAAAATAGCGCTTCGATAATTGGTCCCAATATCAACGCCTTGCCGGTTCGGTGTCGTAGAGTTGTGAATTCGGAAGAAAAACTCTAGAAGGTCCTCGTATGAAACATTGGTGCAATCATATATGAAATGCAATACTTCCACATGACCAGTATCACCCTTTACGATTTTAGCGTAGGTAACCCCGCCAGGGATATCGTGGCCGCCCATAAACCCAACCTGTTTTGCCACAATCGCGTCTTTGAACTTGTCACAGAAGAATTTCTCTACACCCCAATAGCACCCAGCGGCGAAGGTAACTGGCACAGGGCCCACACTGAATGAGATCATTTTGAAATGAAGAGAACTTAATTTCATAAAGAATCGGGTAACAGATATCACTAGCACTAAAATAAAGATGATAGAAAAGAAATGGGACAAGTGAAGTTGGGTGATAATTCGTAGACAGAAATGGCATCAAAATCTCTATCATTGAGCTCAACCTAGAGAAGAGATGGAGTGATGGTTTGTCGATTCAACCCACACTGCAAAGGCAATTAGTTATAGTGATTGTTAAATCACTCTGAAAAGTAAAAATTGATATGAGGAGGATATGGCACTAACTCAAAGACTTTCTGTTTTTCTGGTAACGAATTACTCCCACCACTAGTGCCTGAAGAAGACCTATCGCGGCAATCGATACAATCGCCACTACGTTGACTCGACGAAAAATGCGGATCCAGGTCAAAGGTGCGTTACCTACCGCGATATTAGGGTCAGCTGCCACTGTGTAAACGTACTCATTCAGCTCAGGCAAATCATTGACCTCCGATTGCATGCAGCTCGTCCGCACTGGTGGCCACAGTAGACGATGCTGCAGACAAAAATCCTTTAATCTCGCCTTGTTTTGGTTTATAGTCTCGGCATCGTGACCGATTGCACAATCTTCCTTTGTCTGGACAATAATAAAAGGAAGGTTTGTTGAACACTGAGCCTCCTTGGCGCGCTTATAGAATCTCATAAGGTATGGGATGCTGTAAATGGCATCGCTACCATCGTAACAAAGTAATACCACGTCGAAG